TAGACAGGATGTGGACCAGGGTGTTCGAGGAGGGCGGGGACTAAGTGGAACAGTTTGGTTACAGCTGAATCTGGACCGGTATCCATTTATTGCTAAACCTCCACCATTCATGTCTTCCTTTCATCTTTATTCATTCTCCTCTCAACCTCTCTAGAAGATCTATGCTTAGCCCTTACTTATTCTCTACCTCCATTAGGCACTCTATCTCTTTACATTAACTTCTTAGTTCCAATGAATGGTCTGGTCGTCCCATGAGTCCGCAAGCTGCAACATCATTCTTGACAATCCCCTCTGACTGGAGCCCAGCGAAGGGGGGGCTCTTCGGGTTGTTGTATGATATTCGTTTAATTGCAGAACAGTTTTTCAGTTCCTGTTTTCGTAGCATCAGAGGATCCACGGGGCCCTTCAGTGCAAAAAACTCGACAAATTGGCACGCCGCCGCTACGTCCTGTGAACCGACCTGACCTGAACCGCAGAGCCGATTAGCATCCAACTCATGAAACCTGAGCTGTGCGCACAACGAAAATTGATCCAAGCTCTCAAACTACCCTGGCCAGGGGAGGAGAAAATCGCTTGTTTACACGACCATAGCGTAACGAATTTGGTTATATGATGCAAACTGCGCACAAATTTCGAGTTCTCCTGGTCTCATTGGCAAACACATGACTCAGCCCCTTTTCAGTTTGGCCGTAATGAAATTGTTTCATATATATGTGGTTGTGAAAGCTTGAGAAGGAATTCACTCAAAACCTGTGTTCGCCTACATTGTGCTCCTAGTTACCGTGCATATTCCATGATCTATATCTAGTTAAGCCCTCCATCAGCCGGTGACAGAAGCAGCTGGTTTTAGCTACGCCTAACATCCCAGTACGAATCTTTGGGGTAAGCCGCTTCTGACCACATTTTTCTAGGATGTGTGAGCTCCTATTTTGAAACTAAACGTCCGCTGCGCAAGAAATGCCATTATCCAGCTCCTAACTTGCCTATCTATTCCCAATAATTGCATCTTATGATCTCACAGATGGTGACTAACCGAGTCAAATGCTTTCTAGTAGTCCAAATAGCATACCTACACCGATGGGCCCTCATCACGTCTGCGTGCGACTTCGTCTGGAAACACCAGCAGGATTGTCAGACAACTTCCACGTATCGCCAAGCATACAGTTGGAGATACTTTTGACTTTGCTGAAATTATCAAAATTGT